CTCTTCCTTCAAATTTAAGGCATTCAAAAATTCTTACCCACTAAATTTCATCTTAGGGCTTCCTCATTTGACTCACTATTCAGCCAAGACTCCATTTTAGTAAATATCATTTATTAGAGCTTAACAAACATATATATCAATCATCCAAGTCTTATTTGACCAATAAGACCTCATAACCATGTTTGGAGGCCCAAAAAACCCTAGTATATTAAATTTCACGACCTAATTCCTTCATTTGATTATTAAATTAAAAAGATTTTATTTCGATGCACTAGATTAAATCACCCATTCATCTGTTCCAACTTGAGACTTCAAGATGGTAGGGCTGATGTTATGCCTATACTTGACCTATTAAATACTTGGGCTAATAAAATTGAATAAGTTTAAAAACCCCAAAATCCAAAGATACCCTCACTTAAAGTTAGGAAAAAACAAAATAACATTTTTGGTTGATTCAAATTTACATTTTAAACCATTAAGAGCCCCAAATAAGAGATTGCAATGTTAGAAATGCCTCGGATTCTCATTGGATGCACAAAACCATGGAGATCAACCCCAAGTTGAAGAAAAATGTTGTCCCAAGAAGGAAAGGTTGATTGTAAACCTTCTCCATTTGAAAATCTTCGTCTATTTACATGGAAACACCTTTCTTAAAGCTACACCGTGTAATTGGGTAAATTTCAGGCCTATTTTTTCCCCTTCATTTCTCTACAAAAGGGACCCAAATCAAGTGCAAAGGAAGGGGGATGAGCTGAAAGTATTCTCAACATCTATAGTATCATCACTGTTATTTTCTCACAAGAAACCTCCAAAAAAAAAAAAAAACAATCAAGGCCACATCCAAAAGTAAGTTAAGGGATTTGGGGATTTGGAAAACTAGTATCTAACTCTTGATAACATCACCTCAGACCAAGTCTAAAGGAAGTTAGGAATAATTTTCTTCTAAGGTTTTGGTGTTTTAATCTTTCTTATTTGAAATTGTTTCTTGAAATTTAAACACAAGCAACTCTCATATTGGGCTATTACAACAGCTCGGAGAAAATAGTGCCTAATACCTTCCTTTTTCTAATAAATTTGAATCTAAGTCTTTTCCATAGAGAAACGGAGTCACTATCCAGAATAAAATAAAAAATCCTAAAACTAAAATAAGGGCCCATTTTCTCTAGAAAACAAGATGGCAATTCCTCCTTTGAGCCAACTATGAATTTCCTGGGGCTCACAAGGATCACATTGTTTCATTTTTTTTTTTTTTTTGCACCAACGAATGCCACGTAGTGCATGCCTTAGATACTAAAACGACGCCTTGTCTGACATAGTAATTCCCAAACCACAGCTCGGTGTCTTTAGGCTTGACAATTCTGAACCACCATGCCTGTCAATTTACAAACTGCGAGAAACTTTGCACACCCCAGATTGATCACTCTACTTCCTTCGCCCGATGCTGATCAACATCTCGCCTTTGCCTTTGGCCTCAGTTTCAAAACTGGAGGACATGTGATATAACCAAAGTTACCTACACCAATCAACACCTAACATGTGGCCATCTTGGAGATGACCCTTAAATATTAGAGTGTTTGTGGTATTTCACCCTCGACCTTAATGATGACCCTTAAATATTAGAGTAACACTTGGCCATGTGGCCCTAACCTTAGTTCAACCCGTCATGCAAAGCTATTACAAAATGCCCTTAATGCCACCATTAACTAGGTTTTCACCCATAAATTGGACCGAGAGGCTACAAGTACCTCTCTTATGCATTCTACTGCTCTTGCTCTTGCTCTTGCTTTTACTCTCACCTCGACACCTCGACTTTCCTATCACCTTCGCTAACTTAATCATCGGAGCTATTACCTCTGGGACCACAACTCTGGGCCTCTAACGTCCTTTTCTGAATGTAGGTGGGACCTTTGGCCGATTCACCTCGAAAGTTCCCAAACTACCCTCATTGCCATTACTATGGGCTCATGAATGACTTGAGTGGTGTTCTTTCTCAGCCATAACTCCTTGTAGATAATCCTTGTCATTCTTTTGCTCTTTTAAATTTTGTATTTGTAACAAATCACAATGGCGAATATCAGTGATATATAATGAAATCAATCATTCGAAGTGAGTGAGTTCTTCATTCCTTCAAATTTTCTCCTATATTTTGAAAACAATATATAACATATTCTACAATAGCAATTAATACATGTATTTTGGGTCTAAAATCAACATTTCAAATAACTATGCATTTCAAAATCTGTTTTAGCTACAAATTCCCAGTGTGAATCTTCTATCCATCCAAGGTTTTATCCAAGACAAAAAAAAAAACAAAAAAAAAAGCATTTTTAATTAGAGTGGTTCATGTTTAACAAAAAATAAGAAAAAAATAGAAAATTGAGAGAAAGCTCTTAAATATTTTTCTCTTATTTTCTACCAAACCAAACATAACCTAATGGGTTCAGACTTTACCATAATAATCAATCAATTCTAAATCTAATACAAGTTGGAAAAGGATTTACTCAATAAAACTACATGCAAAGTGACTGTTCGGTATGATGCTTGACCTATTGTGCAATAATTCTCATGTGATTGAACTGGCCATCTAACCCATGGCGAGGTTTCCGAGTTTGTTTCATTGACCTGGTGGCCTGATCGGTTGAATTGTTAAACCGTTTGTCCATTTTTTTTCTGTTTTATTTATATTTTTAGCCATTTTCCACCATAGCAATAATTTTCATTTATCAGACATGCCTAACTTTTTTCAGCAATTTTTTGTCATTTTATTTACTTTTTTACATTTCATCTACTTTTATCTATTTTTATTAGTTTATTACCTGATTTTATTATATTAGTTGACCCATTTAACCTAGATGATTGAATTGTTGATCCATGTTAGGGGATAATGATTCAATTTTCATGTCATTTTTTAAAATATTAATTTTACAATGCCTATCATCGTTTTAAAAAATGATCTGGAAATGGAACCGTTCTGACCACCAATTTCTAGGTTGACGGTTTGACCGTTCAGTTTGAATGGATGGCTTGCTTTGATAAAAATAATTAGAAATAAAAAAACAACCAAAACCGTTGATGGTTTGACTGTCCAGTTCAAATGGAAACTTCGTTCTGACAAAAAAAAATAAAAAAATAATTAAAAATAAAAAACGGCCAGAAAACGTTGAACGGGTCAATGGGTCATTGACTGATTCAATGATTTTTTGGCCAGGGACCGGGTTTGGGGTAAAACGGAACTGGTTGCCTGAACGGTTCCCGGGCCAAATGGTCCGATCATCCGGGACAACGRTGGTTCAAAAACCATGATGCCTATTGTATTTCTTCAAAAAGAGTCAACGGTAAAAAATTTAACTTTTTTTTTTTCAATTTAAGCGAAATTGAACTATGTTACTCTTTAAAGAATAATATTTAACCGTTTTTTTTTTCTAGTGAATGAAACATAATTTTCTGAAGTTACATTAAAATGAATATGACCATTTGTTTGCTCTCTTAAACAAACGGATAGTTTAAGTATATATATATAAATTTCGTCAACAAATGAGTATATTTACTATAGAAATAAGAAACTAGCTTTGTTAGAGCTGAATTGGGATATTCTGCTCTTCATAGGGCATACCTCACACCGATCTCACATCCACATCCCACCCTATATTGGGAACATCTCCATATGAATAATAAATACAAGTATGGAAAAAGTTCTCGATATACAGTCAAAACGTGCTGTGAAATCAGTGAGGTGTTCTATGACAAACAGATCCGGACTCATTGGAGCTGTTGTTATACCCCTGTTTTATTTATTTAGTTAATGATCCTTTCTACTCAATTTTATTGACTTGAGCCAAGTCAAAATTTTGATTAAATTAATTATTTGCATTATGCCTAATTGCAAAGAAAACAATATTAAATTAATATATAAATTCTAAATTATCTCTTAATGCCCCTATATCTTTTCAATCTGAAATCACACTGAAGTGGACGGCAGTGGCTCTTGTTTGTGGACGAAGAAGCAGCCAAACCTCAGTCCACAAAGTTACTAAACCAATCTCATTGTTGTCTTTATTCATAAATTTCCATTTTATGTGGACACTATCGATAGCCTCTTTTAACCACATTAACTAAAATTGACAAAAATACCCCAATCCAGAAGAACATAACAAAGACTCAAGGGTGAGATTTGTACTTTACAGGAGAGCTTTCTTTTCAATTGCTGAAACTTCCCTTAATTTTTTAATAATTATTAATACTTCCCTTTGCAAGTACATCCTCTCTTATACAATACTTTAACAAGAAGCACAAAAATATCCAAAATAGTATGGTTTAAAAAAAATACAAATTTTATAAATAAAAAAGTAGAGAATTTAAAATTACAGCTTTACCTTTGAGAATAATATCAGAGGCAAATTTGAAAAAATAAATCAAATTTAAAAAAAAAAAGAAATTCTAAAAGGATTTGAGCTAATGATTCATATGATGAAGAGAAAATTTAGAAAATAAATGTGTTGGTCAAATGAAAAACTGTTGGGTATTTTTGACATTTTATGCATCCTTTTAGAGAATTCTAATAAAAAGGGTCTAATTGCAATTATGTTGGAGAGTTTGGACCAAATTTTAATTGAGATTTTAGAAACTGCAGGGAAATTTCAGAAATTTACTTTCTTTTTGTTTTTCAACAAAACACTTCCATCCCAACACCCTTATCAACAGGATGGGGCATCACACATCTCACCTTGAGACTAACACCAATAATAACACTCTATTATTATTGGTGGTGTCAAGTAATGTTAGGAGGGTGTTGGAATATATTTTACAGGTGATTTAGCTTTAACAGAATTCGCTAAATGCTTTAGCTGTATAACATGGTGTAAAACCAATAATGTTATCATTGGTCCCATGGACCGCTGCACGAGTAAAGCGTTCAGCTAATAATCTACACATTGTTTCTCTGAACCTATAAGAGAGCTTTTTTTAGTCCAAAAGAATATTCCTTTTATATATTTTGTGAAGAAAATAACAAAATATCTTTACTATCCTTGCATTATCGCAAGTTTCTCCGTGGCAATAGCATTTTCCATTTTTTTTTTCGATTAAGTTTCAGACTCGGGAGCGAAAAACCGCCATTTTCACCGAGTTGTAGAGGTGAAATTGAATTCTCGAACAAGGAAGCAATCGGTTCTCATGGCACTACAGGTCTCGTTTTGGCCTCCATCTCTGCGTTCTCCGACGATGCCTTCGTGGTCTTTGGGTCGGCCTGCTTTGGTACCCGATCATCTGCGTTGTGTCGGAGATCGGTCATCTGGGATGACGAGGGGCTTGGCCAAGAATTACGATAAGAGGAAAGGGATTAGGATTTCTGTGAGGTCGAGCTTGGACATAGCGGGTCCGGTCGTTGGGCAGGTGACTGAGGTCGACAAGGATTCGTTCTGGCCTCTTGTTAAAGCCGCCGGAGATAAGGTGGTTGTTCTCGATATGTATACTCAATGGTAAATCTCTTTCTTTGGGTTAATTTGATTAGAATTTTGTGAATGCAGATGTTAGTTTTGAGTTCACTGGTTTGGCTTTTGGAGAATTTATTGATGAGAATTGAGAGGATCTGAGCCACTAGAAATTCATGGCACAATTGGGAAGAGGCCATATTGGGCTTCCTGCTAATCGCCTAAATATCTATCTTTTGGTTAATCGCTCAGAAATTATAAATGTTCAAGTTGGTTCAGTTTCAGTTCTTGGTTTCCTGGGAGTTTATTCATGGGAATCAAGAGAATCTTGAGCAAATAGATATTCACATATCGCAAATGGGTAGTAATTTGTTCTTTTTCTTCATTGATTACCTTCTATTTCTTGGTTTATGACTTGTGGTCTTTTACTATTTTACCTTTCTCTGTCCATTAGGACTTTATAATTGGACAGGAGCTCTAAGATTTGAGAAATACATTCTTCAAGTGGCTGCGTAAGAAGATCCTTAGACAGCCTTCCTAGATGCTTGTTCTTGTAGGCAGAATAATAACACAATTGTGCATGTGTAAAGTGCATGATCACTGGATTTCAGAAGTTTCTTATGTACAAAACTTCTGTGGCTTATCCGGTTTGGAAGTTTCCATGCTTTTTGTAACTCATTCTGGTGGTTGGGATCAAGAAACTCATGGTTTCTAAATGCTTGTATGCTTGCTTTTAATACTTTTCTTCTTTTTTCCTTTATCAAAGTATGGAACAATATACTGCATTTGAGTTGGTGGATAAGTTCATTCTCTTTAGGGAGTTACTCTGCACCTAAACTTGTAGACAAACCTATTTACATAGGTAATAAATGTATATTTGCAAAAATGTATCAATGAATATCTAGACTGTGTTTGATAATTAACAGAAGCTAATTTTACTGCAATGATGCCAAACACCTTTATATCCAAAATCAGATAGCAAGGGAATGATACTGAACAACACTAGGCTGACCTTACTAATGTATAACAAATATAAATATTACAATTCCATCCTAGGACCAGGGCATCCCCACAACAGGTTTTCCTGCATGCTCCCTGATTTTGTTAGACTCTGCAAGGTGATTGGACGATCTAGGTACCCACCTGAACAAGCAATTCAGGCTGTTACCAAATATCTTTGTCTACTACCTCCGAGTCCATTTGGAGGTTGCAGACCAGCTGAAATGTTTCAAGAAATTCACAACCGAATTGTTTATGACTAGGCTTTTCTGTTGGGCTTGTAAATAGAAAAATATACTTGTTAATGAGGTTATACCTTTTGTTATAGGATTGGGGTATATGTAAATGAAGGTTGGACACATGCAAGGTCCAAGGTGCCAACCAGCGGATTGGTAAGGTCTCCTGCTGGTCGTAGCAGACTTGAGATTGAATCCTGCCTACACCTGGGTTGGGGGATGGGCTACCCCCCACGCATTTGTGTAGCCCTTCTAAAAGAAGTCAAAAGAAAATGAAGGCTGGACATGTAAATGATGACATATATATTAATGAAAGTCAACTTTTTATTTTTTTTTTCTAAGCATAACACGTAATATCCAAATACATGTGTATGCCTAAAGTACTAGTGTTAGACATGATGTATACTCAATGGAACATCAAGTACCGCATGGACACTTCTTAGATATACTTGGTAGCATTAACACCATAAAATATATAAGATAATATGCTTTAACAAATCATATTATAGAATATTTGCATACATGGTTGTCAAGATGCCAAGGCAATGCTACAGGTGACAGGGGAATGCCTCGTCACCTAGGTGACTATGTACCCATGGTGAACTTATATGAAAGTTTGCTTTTTTAGCTTGTTTTATCTAGCTTTGTTATGGTTAGCTTGTTTGCCTAGTTGAAGTGGCACTCTAGCAACTAGCAACCATTAAAAATGATATAAAATGAACAAGTTAAACACTAAAAGTAGTATGTAAGCAACATTGAATACTTTGTGAAAAAATTATAGGGTGTAGCCTTATTCTATTAGTGGGAGGAGATGTAAATAGAACACCTAAGCATTTATATTTGTTGTATACTTGTATATCAAAGAATGGAGAAAAAAACGAAGGCATGAAAACCCCCTATTATGTTGAATTTGGCAAAGATATACACGTGTGTATGTGTGTGTGTGTGTGTGTGTGTGTGTGTGATAGAACATCTATGCATTTATGTTTGTTGTATATCAAAGAATGGAGAAAAAAACAAAGGCATGAAGACCCTGCTATGTTGAATTTTACAAAGATATACAAGTGTATGTGTGTGTTAATTGTAGAGAAAAACTACAATAGTGGTTGTTATAGTTGGAAAGATGGAGAGGAGTAATTATGAAAAAAAGGAAAATAAACAAATGAAAGTGTTAACAGTACTTGTACTTAGAGCTGCATGGGATTTTTTGTCATTGTACTCTTTTCTATCTTATTAGTTGGGCCACCTTAATATAAATAGAAGAGCTGGTGTCGCCAGCTATTCCTTTTGACTCCCAAACTTTTGTTTCTCTCTCTCTCTCTTCCCTCTTTCCTCTCTTCTATTGATTTCTTCCGAGAGAACATGGTATCAGAGCGGAAATCTTGAGTCTGAAAATAGTTCGATCAAGGATTCCTTGTTTCTTCCCGCTGTTTTTTTTTTTTTTCCAGATCAAATAAAGGATACACTCATCGACTGGTTTGAGGGGATCAGCTTAGTTTTTCTCTCTTCTTTTGGTCGTGTGCCAAGATATAACCTGTAATGTGGTGATGGTGATTACATGCAGTGAAGGTGTTTGAGGTGTCTTCGCATCCCTTATGTGGATTGTGTGATCCTTGTGTATTCAGTAGTGATCATGTGATCCTTCTGTGGATTCCTTGTATTTTCCTGATGTTTTTTTCCCAAATTGAATAAGGATACTCACATCGACTGGTTTGAGGCGATTGACTTAGTTTTTCTCTGGTCTTCTCTTGGTCATGTGCCAAGATATAACCCATACTGTGGTGATTACATGCAATGAAGGTGCTTGAGGGTGTTCCCATCCCTTATGTGGATGGTGTGATCCTTGTGTATTTAGTAGCGATCGTGTGTCCTAGTGGAGGGGTGTCTGATATTTGTGGGGCCTATCCAGAGTCCAGACCTATCCAGATCTGTTTTTTCTATCATTTTTTTTTTATATTCTATCTGTTCGAACAGTGTTCCAGTGCCTGGTGTTATATGTGGACTGTAGTGAATACCAATTATTAGTGCTTTTTGTGTGAGACTGAGAGGTCTGGTGATTGTTATTCCCCCTATTGTTTTCTGTGGCTGATTGGTAACAACAGTCCTATTTACCATGGCGTCAGAGGATTCAACCACTTTTGGTGTGACTGCTAGCCATGGTGGAAGTGAGTGGGGGTTTGATATGAACTTCTCAATGGCTGTTAATCCCCTAGATGGATTTAACTACCTAGAGTGGTCGAAGGGAATTAAATACATAACTGCAAGAGGAAAGATATGCTACATCAATGGAAAAATTAAGGACCTAAAGTGTGGGAGTGCAGGACGTGATAAATGGAACCAAGAAATAGTATGGTGATGGCATGGCTTTTAGTTTCCATGCTTCCACAAGTGAGGAAAAATTTTATGTGGGCAGATAGAACTTATGAAATTTGGGAACAAGTTAAATCTACATATTCTGAGCAAAGGCATTATGCAAAAGTCTACCAGTTGTAATCTTCAACCTGTAGATAGGAGCAGAGGAGTCTCTTAGTTTACTACTTAGATTTGACCTCTATTTGTGGGAGTTGGATCACTATTGTTTTTTCCATAAACGAGTAAAATTTCATTAATCCAGCAAATAAGAGTTACAGTTAACCCAAGGAAAGGCACGAGATGCGACCCTTCCTTTAAGATTAGTTATAGAATTATAAATTCAAATAAAATTACAAGGTAGCCCAAAATAAAGAAGCCCGAGAAACCCCCTGTTTTGTAAGTGAATCAGCCATTGAATTTGCTGATCTGCCTACCCACTGAACTCTAATTGTCAGATTCCTTGTTAGCCAATTAACCTTTTTAAGGAGATCTCTATAGCCCCAGATCACAGAATCCGGATCTTGCAACCAACTCACAATCACCTGGGAGTCCCCTTCAATAAGCAAATGCACTATTCCCAGCTGGTTTGCAAGTTAGATTCCTTGTACAGCGGCACATAGTTCAGCTTTTAAAAAGTCTTCCAAACCCACAGGACCTGAGTACAAAGACATAATTCTACTGTCTTTGTTTCTTAGCACTCCTCCTATGCCCGAATGTCCAGGGTTACCTCAGTTATTCCAATCAAAGTTCAGCTTAATGAACTCCTTCCCAGGTGGCATCCATTCTACCATGTATCTGTTTTTCCTAGTAGAAGTATTAGCCACTGCTAACCAGCTCCTCCATAGGTCATCGAAGGAGTAGGTATCAAAGAGGTTTTAAGTTTTCAGCCACTAAATTTGCCCTTGTCATAATACAATCTTTAACTTCCAAAGAGCTTCTTTCTTTTTCACAAAAAATTCTGGTGTTCCTTTCTTCCCAATTAGTCTATAAAAAATCTGCTCTGATGCACTTCCACCTAATTCTCCCTCTCTTTGTGTGCCATTCAAATGTAGACGGACTAAACAACGAGCTAATATCAGATGGCAAGTAACACCTACACTCAAACAACACAAAAATCCAAAGGAACAAGAGATCAGTAAGTGGTAACAATCCTCATTCTAAGCTTTACAAAGAACACACCAATTTGGTCTCCTCTTTTGCAAGTTTTTGGAGGTATTAATCTTACCATAGTAAACTTCCCAACAAAAAACAACCATCTTTGGGGGGAATGGGTCTAGTCCAAAATTCTTTAGCTAGGATAACTCGGGGTGCAAGAGAGGAACAAAGGGATTTGAAGGAGGAGGAGCAAGTAAAGAAGTCTTTTGAATTAGGGGTTCAAATTCTTGTGTCAGGTTTGAGAGGATCTAGATAAACAGACTTAAGTGAGAACAACAGTTCTGAAACATAAGCACATTCATCATC